ACTTCACATTCTTTCTAAATTATATATATCTAATATTACTACTACATATATTTAAAAATGTATGTTGCAAAACCTCATTCTTTTTTTCTTTTCGAAAATTCATGCAAATCACTTTCTTTTTGTAATTTTGATTTGATCACTTATATTAACATATCAAAACAATTTGTAATATAAGTTAAAAAATAGAACTTGAATAGAAAAAATTTGCACAAAATTGGATATGAGAGAAGAGATAAGAAAAAACCTATAAAATAAAAATTTTCAAGTGAAGCACTTATAGAAGAAAAAGTTAGTAAAGACTTATGGGAAAAAAGAAGAAGAAGAAGAAGAAGACAAATTGTTAAATACTCTTTCTTATCTATCTATCTATCTATTATATAAAATGCTACCTCCAAGCATTAATTAGGCATTGAAATTTATTATTTTTATTTTAATTGTAAAAAATATATTTTGTTTAAAGTAAAAAAGAACATATAGTATTTTTACAATGAAATATAATAAATATACATATTGATAATATTTGGTTTTACCTTTTTATCTTCTCATCTTCTTCTCTTTCACTTCTTTTCTTAATATTCTCAATTATTTTATCAGTATTAATTTTTATTACATATGTAATAAATCAAACCAAAGGAAAATGAATAGACACCTAATTTTTATGGAGAAAAAAAAAAAAGATTACAATTTCATTCATCATCAATTATAACACTTTCATTTATCATTTATTTTTGTCATTTTTAATTTTCTTCACCTCATGCACTTTTTTTTTTCTTTTGGTTGGAAAAAAAATGTGCATGAGGGAGTGAAATATGAAAAGAGCTTACTAAAGAGAAGAAGACTTTTGTATGACTTCTGTTTGATTTTATTTCATATAAAACTTTTTACTTTATTCAAAATGTATTTTTTTTTTGAAAAAATAATAAAATCTGTATATATTTTTTTAATGTAGGCTTAAAAAAGAATGTGATGATAAGGAGACAGAAAAAAGCTCGTCAATAGAATGAGATTATGAGAATGCAAAATAAGCCTTTTGATGAATATATTTGAAATATGAATAAAAATAAGCTTTTTGATAATTATATTAGTTCATCAATCTTTATAAATGTTAGCAGCAATCAAATAAAGTTTGATTTTTTTTTTATTTTGAATTTCATATATATACTTTATTTTTATGTTTTGTAATACATATTTTGAAATTGATATTTAATAATAATAATAGCAACAACAACAATAATAATTAAAATTAATGCATAAATATATACATTAAAACAATATCTAAAGCTATATTTGCAATCCCTCTATTAAATGTGAGTAACATACATTTTTATTTAATTGTTTGATGTATATTAAATCAATATATTTTCATTACATGTATATTTTTTTTATCAGCAAATAAATAGATTAAAATAATACGAAGTACAAGGAATACTCCAACCCATATACAAAATTAAACTACGTCCAACAAAAGTTTAAAAACATCAAGTACTATTACAACAACCATTTCCAAGACAAAAAAATGCATTATGCAACTAAACCACCCTACCATTTGTATTCATACCAAACTCCTTCATCATGCTTTTGTTCTTTCCTATAGCAGTAGCAGTCTCCAGCGGATTAACCTTCCAATCACAAAGCGAAAAAATACAGCCCTACAATTTATTTTTAATCTAGAAGAAAGTCTTGGCCTGTATCATATCCAACAAATCATCCCTTAGGACCACATTTCCCTTAAAGACTCTACAATTTCTCCAATACCATATGTACTAGGAAGTAACAAGGAAAAGGCAAGATCCCAATTCCTTTCCTATCACCCTACCCAACCCACACAAGAAAAATTCTACTAATCTCTCCACTACATTCGGCAATACAGTCTCCATTCCCCTCCAAGATAGCACCTTAACCCATATTAACCACACTTCCTTACATGTACAAAAGACATGATTACAATCTTCTACCTCCTCATTACACAACCCACACCCCAATCCCCCCACTAAAACCACTCCTCTCTTTTGTAAGATCCACTTTGTTGGAAAATGCTCGAGACATAATCTCCACTAAAAAAAACTAACTTTAGTAGGTACTAATTGACACCAAATTAGCTTGCAGAGCTGTTGTCACGCCCCAGAACCCAAATCTGGGGACGTGGCAGATACTGTGCACTCGTGAGACGGGTCCCACAAATGCACAAGGCTTGGAACTTAATCAAATCACAATCTGATACCATCAAAATCTGAAGATCAAATTTTAAAATCTGCTCTGATATCATAAATCTCCAATAAAGTCGAGTTTACAAGATCATGATTTATTTCTAAATCTATGTCAATCTCAAAATGGCTAACCTTCTAACTCGTCACTTCCATGGTTTCCCCGTCTTCGGTTTCGTTTCCTGAAATGGTGGACAAAGAAAAACTATGAGATAAACTCAGTAAGTAAATATGGAGTGCCCCTTATTAAATTTATAGCATGTCAACAAGTACAATTACGAAAAACAGATATAGTATGAGAATAAAATAGACGTCTCCTTTATAGGTCATGGCCAGTGTTATAAACTTCCCACTGGCATGCACACGATTTACTAGTGTATAATCCCCACTAGCAGGGTCACTGAAATACCAGTGTTTAACAACTCCCATTGGCAGGAGGAACCGGCTCTATCACTAACATGTTGACATGTGCTAGCATATAATCCCCACTAGCAGGGTCACTAATAACATGACCACATCGGAGACAAAACAGGCTAAAGTTAACAAAAAAATCATAATTCACCAATCACTTTCAAATCATCAGGACAATCAATTAAACTTTCAAGTAAGCATGCTCAATTTAATGAAAAGTATAAAAATTTCACTTCAAATCAGTCATGCTCGTGTAAAACGGGTTTAGTCCCGCCACCACTTCAAAAACAAATCAAAACATGCTTTAAAAACTATACGAGCATTACCATAAATTTACTTACCTCACTCACATAAAACCGAGCACTCAATCTCAGTGCTAACTGATAGAACGATCGAAGACCTAATCAAAATATTTCAAGAATTAATTCCGCACTACCACAAATTCAAACTGAAATCATCATTAGGATCACTCCTAATCACATGCTATTCTTATCAATTTCCACATAATCAAATATCTCCAAATTTGTTCTTATATCACAAACTAAACATTTAAATCCCCGTTAATTGTTGACCCTCTGTTTGTGAACAGTAATTTGTGAACAGTGCCGTGAGCAGTGCCGTAAACAGTAACCACAACGTGAACAGTAACCCCAACATCCAAAAATTGCCCAAAACACTAGCTAATTCACGGGATTTTTCTCCAAATAAATCACAGCAATCAATTAACGCTCAATCACATAAATCCCACTTAAAGCTACCGAAATTCTCCCAATTTCAACATAATTTTCGGACAATACAGGGCAGCAATTAAATGGCCAATTTCAACAGTTAAATGGGTAAATTTGGACTTAGAGAAGCTGCCGCATACCACAATTTTCCAGCTAAAACCGGACTGCAGATTGGGGGAGGCCGACGGCAGTGCAGGGGACTCACGGGAACTACCCAAAAATTGGAGAAATCAAGAGCAATTAAGGTAAACCCAAGGCAATTCAAAGCTAGAGAAGGGAGATTCATGGCTGTTCTTACCGGAAAATCAAAGCAATTTGCCCCCACAAAGCAAGAGCAGCCAGCGGTGAGGAAGGAAGAACAGAGCAGATCCGGATTTCCAGCAAGGGGGGGAGAATTTCTGGGTTCAAGAACAAGAAAAGAAGGAGAAATCTTCAAGCTTTCAACCGGTTTTCCTCAAGAAAATGTCACCGGCGGTTGGGCTTCTTTTGTTCGGCTGCAGCGGGAAGAAAGAAGAAGAAGAGCAGAATCGGGCAAGGCTGGGAAGAAAAGAAAGAAAGAAAAAAGAAAAAGAAAAAAGCTGATCCTTATCCAACTTTTTATCCTCTATAAGTCCCTCAACTTTTGAAATATTCATATTAGGCCTCAAAACAATCTTTTCTCACAATCAAGTCCCTAACTTAAATTATAAAATTCTTGAAAATTTGGGATATTACAGCTGTTCATTCAGAATGTATTCCGTTGATGCTAGAAAATCGTAAGTTTTTTTTACCACATACTTCCCATCTGAACCATGCACCTAATGCCAACAATCCTCAATACCTACCTTTATTTGAGCTCTAGTTAAAACCTCCCATAACACTAACTCCTCATCCTTCTCTCTTCCCAATCACCCTCTCCTCCAAGCTATATTCCATCTTCAACTACCTTCCTCCCAATCCCCCATCTCACTAATTAAATCGTCCTTTTATAGTGCCAACTCAAACAACCTAGGACATAAATCTCTCAAAGTCTTCTCCCCTCCCCAAATCGCTCTGCAATAGCTTACCCGTCTACCATCCCCCACCACCCATTTAAAACCATTCACCAACATATTCTTTAAACTAAGAGATTGCAACCCAATACTAATAACATCCCTCCAAAATTCCAAATCCTAGACACCTTAACCTTATCTATTGCCGTAATATCTACTTCCTCCTTTCCACCATAATACTTCTCTCGCACCACATGTTTCCACAATCCCTCTACTTTATCACATAGTCTAAACCACCACTTCCCCAAAAGAGCCCAATTTTTTCAAAGCAAATCTGGCACACCAAGACCTCCCTTCCTCTTACTAGTGCACACGTAATCCCACTTAACCCATAGAATCTTCCTCTTTAATTCCACCCCACCCCACAAAAAAGCCCTTTGAATATTAATCAACTTAGAAACCACCCAATTTGGCATAAAAAAAATAAAGACATGTAAAAAATGGGAATAACAGAGATTATCGAGTTAAGTAAAGTGATGCGACCACCAACAGACAACGCAGCAGACTTCCAAGTAGCTAGCTTAACTTAGAATTTATTCATAACCAAATCCCACATCTTTCTACTCCCATTCTTCCCACCAATAGGTATTCCCAAATACAAAAAAGGGGTTTTTCCCTACTCCACAATGCAGAACACTTGCTACCCCTTTAATCCACCTTTCAGACACATTAAAACCAAAGACACTACTTTTACTGAAGTTAATCCTCAACCCAGACATCAACTCAAACCATCTTAAAATGGTTTTGACCATGAAAATATTCTCACTATCAGCTTTTCCCATAATCACCATATCATCAGCAAATTCCAGCAAGGAAATAGCTAACGCTTTAGTACCCACTATGATACCATATAATAATCCTCCATTTCTGCCCTTTTGACTAAGCCATGTAAACCCTCAGCAACCATCAAAAAAAGAAACAGAGATAAAGGATCACCTTGCCTTAATCCTTTTCCCATCATAAACTCCTTCGTAGGGCTTCCATTAACTAAAACCGAAACTCTTACAGTTGAGAGACATTCTCTAATCCACCCTCTCCACTTCACACGAAAACCAAACCTGTCCATCATTCAATCCAAAAATGACCAATTTACACTATCATACGCCTTTTCAAAATCAACCTTCAAAATAAAAGCCTATTGCTTTCATTGCTTAACCTCCTTCACCACCTCATTTAAAACTAAAACACTATCAAGCAAATGACAGCCTTCAAGAAAAATAGATTGTGTATCACTAATAATCCCCGACATTACAACCCTAAGCCTATTTGCCAGCAGCTTTGCCAATAATTTATACACACAATCAATCAAACTAATAAGCCTAAAGTCTTTTAGTTTCACAAAGTTCATCCTCTTAGGAATTAAAGTTAAGAAAGATGAATTTAACCCTCTTACTAACCTACCATTTTGATGGAACTCCTCAAAAAATGTCATAAAATCCTCTTTCATACAGTTCCAAGCAAATTTGAGGAAACTGAAATTATATCCAGCCGGCCTTGGTGCTTTTGATCCCTTGCAGCTCTTCAATCCTTCCTCAATCTCTTCCATGGAAAATGGTCTTTCTAACCAGGCTGTCATCTCTTTAAAAATCTGTTTGAAGCCAACTCTAGTAGGCTTGGGATGATTCCATGTTTCATCAGCAAATAACCTTCGAAAATACTTAACAACCTCTTTCTTTAGAACCTCTAGCTCCTCAACCCACTTGCCATCACACAAAAGGCTAATAATATTATTGTGAGCCTTTCTACCATTTGCAATTTTATTGAAGAATCTCGTATTAGCATCCCCCAATTTTGCCTAATTACTTCTTGATTTCTGCTTCCAGATAGCTTCTCTCTTTCTCATAATTTCTTATAACTCATGGAAACCTTGTTGTCTTTCATCCAATTCCTCCTCGTCTAAAGCAACCTTTTCATTCTTCATATCAAGCCTTGCTACTGAGTTTGCAGCACTTTGAAACTAAGCTTCTATATCCCAAAAAACTTCCTTATTCCATACCTTAAGAAATTGTCTTAACAACTTTAATTTTTGAAGACATTTATATCTTGCAAAACCATCCACCACAATCTCATTCCATTTATCTTCCACTACTTTTTTAAAATTCGGATGATACTGTCATACATCCAAGACTCGAAATGGTTTAGGTCCCTAATCTACTTCCCTTGTTTTCAAAATAATCACATATTGATCAGATACTGTTCTTTTTAATCTTTGCTGCACCCATTCACCACCCATATTGCTCATTTCCATAGTCATCAATATCCTGTCCAATCTGCTCATAGCCTTGCCATTTGATATATACCAAGTAAACTGTCGATTTGCCAACTTAATATCCATTAGGCTTGCTATCTCTATGAAACCATCAAAATCCTTCATATATGCACTCTCCCCTGTCCTTCCCTTTTTTTCTTCAATACTTCGAATAGCGTTGAAACCCCCTACAAGTAGCCAACGCCCTCCCTCATCCATAATCCTCTATTGCTGCTCATCCCATAACTCAGTTTTTTTCTTTCTATCATTTGGGGCATATACATTCACAAAAAAACATGTCTCATTCTTTACACCGCAAACCCCTTTTAAACCCAAAAAACCATCACCCATAAATTCCCCCTACTTGACAAAATTTGCCTTGTTCCACACACAAAGCAAACCTCCTGAAGCTCTTACCGAACCTTTCATACTCCAATCAAAATCATCAACATACCACAACATTTTACACAAACCCACATCTACACCTTCTAATTTAGTCTTCTGTACAAACAATAAATCTAGTTTTTCTACTCGTACTAAACTTCCCAACTCCCTCCTCTTCACCATTCCTCCCAAACCTCCAACATTAAAAGATAAAACCTTCATTTTATACACAAATCCACACCCAAACTAGCCCTATAACTACCCAAGACCTTACTTATTTTTCCTCATACTATCATCTCGCTCTTCCATCTCCATCAGTTGAGACTCCATCTCCTCTTTTGTACCATCAAATTACATTCCCAACCTTCTTCTAGTACTCATCATTCGCCTTACCTCTTGCAAGTTTAACTCCCGTTGTATAACTCAATTCCGATTTGCAATGCACCCATCTGAAACAGATTCACTTCTTTCCTCCTATTGATCCTTCTTTCTTGAAATTGATGGCATTTGCTAGGTTTTCTTGTGCTTTAACCATTGCTGCTTTGTTCGGCCAGTCACCCGCTTTGTTTTCTCTTTCTAGATTTTGCCTGCTTCTTCTGGATAACACTTTACCACTTTTCTGTATCTTTTTCCCAACAAATTTGTAGCCTTTTGTCCTTCATCACATGCTAAACCTTCTAGACTTGAGTCATTGGACTCTTTAGTAAGAGAATTTTCTCCTAACCCATTTAAGTTTGCACTCGACCCATTATCATGTACCAACCCAATTTGCTTCTGATAATGAAGATACCATGCCTTCCAGACCCCCCAACGGCTCACCCTTCACCTAATCACTTTTTGAATTCAAAATTGCTTCCTCTTGTAACAGCTCCAAATCAATATTATCTTCATCTTCGCCGCAAATCTCATCATTAATAAATTCATGATCTTCATTATCACTATTCTTGGAAGAATATTTCAATGATGCTATCGTTGAATTCTGTCAGTCACCCTTAGATAGCCACCAATCTGGATCTGATCTCCATTCCTCCTCCACTATTTGTATCTCATACAACTGCCCATCAACCTTCAATTTTAAGACTTAATATTTTATGTGTTTCAAGAACAAGAACTAATACCCTTCACATAACACAGATTTGGATTTGGTAACTTCATGCACCATCACCACCTCACCCACTATTCCCCCAATCATGTTAAAACATCTATCACTCCATGTAGTTAAGGGAATCCCTGATATCTTCACAAAGGTATTGCCCATGGCAAAATAGATTCAAACCATGTATCAATCAATTCTTTATTTTGCTCCATATACTCACAAAGGTAACCCTTGAGACGTTCAATAAGCAGCACTGATCTTCCCCCTAATGGTATTAACATGATCAACCCTCCATCCACATCCACCCTCTCTTGAATGCTTGTCAATGACATCAAAGATTTCAAAACAACAACCATACCCCTTTTCAACCACTAAATCTCTTGCTTTGTTGGAGAAAAGTCAATGATAATCTCTTTGGATTGCTCCTCTATACGTCCCACTATCCTTTCCTGACCATTTTCTTTTTCACACGATCCAATCTCCTCAGTCTCATCATTCTGTTGCATCTTTGCTGTGTCCCCTTTCTCCTGGAACACCACTGTTTTCTTCTCCTCTAGTATTTTACCTTGTGCTTGATTCTTTTCAACCCAGTTACCCTTTCCCATTACATCTTGAGCATAAGATTGCCCAGGTTGCACCAGTCTATTCATGCTACTTGTTTTCCTCATCACAGTACCTGTAATTATTTCCTTCCCTAGTCTTGAGAACTTCTTCCATGGTCTATTAGCAATCTTCACCCTCAACTTACACAGCCCAAACCAAATCTCATTAAGCTTTTTCTCCATTTTAGACTCATTCTACACTCATGCCATGCAAACAAAACCAAATATTTTCCCCCACTTATCCCTCTTGTTTGGCACAAAGACATCCACTACCTTGCCATACTGTTGAAAATGATACCAAAGTTCTTTGTTGTCAACTTTTCTAGGAAATTGTAAAAGAAAAATGTCTGAACCTGCCCCAATAACTAGTTGTTGAACCTTGGAATCCGTTGCTAGTACCCTTGCCGCTATTGGAAGCTGCTGTCTGCCTTGGTCGCCGCATCCCTCTCTCGAACCCTAGTAGTCTCCATCTTTAATTCCGTTACATGTATATTAAATCAAGAAAGAGAAAAAGATGTGATTTAAAAAATGAAAAACATTAATTCATTCAATAGTAAGCATCATTTTTTTTAAGTGAATATTTAATAATATGAAGCACTTAAGCCCAGAAAAAAAAAAAAAAGGAATACTAAACATTAATTCATAGATATTAAGAATACTTAGAATTAGAAGAGATTAGCTTGGCCAACAACCTAAGTAGCTCAGTAGTCATCTCTTTCCGTTGGAAGTAAGAGGTATTGAGTTCGAGTCGCGTGGCATGCGGATGGAGTGGAATAAGGGATGAGAGATGGTTGCCTCCCATTGTGCAACCAAGATCCCAAAAGAGAGAGAGAGAGAGAGAGAGAGAGAGAGAGAGACTAGCTTGATGTAAAAGTTATAATTTATTTGTTCGCTTTCCATCATTTTAAATGAGAAAAAAAAAATGTAAATTGTAGCCTAACGAATAAATGAAATTAAATTTGATAACAAAAATAAATGAGAAGATTATGGAAAGGAATGGAAATTTGATAGCATAAATTAAATTTGTGAATACACTTAACATTAAATTTGTTTAGGCTAATTAGTTTTTTTTTTAAATAAATCTGAATTAATTCATATTTTATTTGTAAACATTATTTATTTAGTTGATGTTCTCTAGCTAATTATTCACAAAAAGGGGTAAGAATTTTAGGAAATATAAAAATAATGTAAAAATAATCAAGAGTAAAAAAAACCAAGTATTTACCTTTACAAACAGGGCTGACTTGATAACATATTCAATAGAATATTATAAATAGTTATTGGACCCAAAGTAGAGAAGTTTTTTAGCAAAAAAATTAGCATTAAGAGAAAGTGAGTGAACATTATAAAAAAGGAAAATGAGTATTTCAGTACTAATTAAGAGAAAAGTGAAAATTTAGGACATCATGATATTTAAAATGTTAAAGATTTCCTAATCATAATGCTATGGATTGAACAAAATAAGAAATGTGTCAAAATAAATTAAATAATAGAAAATGAAAAGATAATATTTCAATTGGATTTCATAAAATTAAGAATATTAAAAGGCCATTCTTCTTTTTTATCATTTCATTCCAATCGATAAGGTTCAAGTAAATTAAAGATGTAAAAATGATCATAAACTAAAGATGAAACGTACAATGAACTACCAGAAAATTTTTAGCAAAAATGTTATCATTTTTCTCTGTATAAAATGATGAAAACAAAACATCATAAGCAAGCATATTACATCCTATTAATACAGCTTTTAAAAGATCAAAACAAGCTCCTTTTCAAAACAATTACACCATATACCTCAAAAAAATATTTGAACTACCATCAATACCTCCTTTTAAAATAATTGCATTGTAGAACGCAAAAATAGAGGCTTAAGTTAGGTTTTCATATCTATGATCTCAATTTCAAATGCAAGGTAAGAAATCAAGAGATTGGGAATGAAATGGTTATCCCGACTGTATTTCTCATCACCAGATGTATCGAAAAAACAAAAAATTTAGTGGGTTTGGAGTTTTACTTAATACAAATACCCAAATACAAAGTTTAAAATACCATTGCTTCTACAAGTATAAAATAATTATAAAAATATATAATTTTATTTAAAATTTAAAATTATAAAAAATATATTAAAACACTTAACCTTATCAAAGAAATTTAGCTTGATATTCAATGACTGAAAATA